ATGGAGTGAACTGCTGGAAGAGCTGGCCAAATCTGGCAAGACTGATTCTGAAGCCGTGAAGAACTACTCATATCTCAATATTGTGGGCATGGTAGGCTCCATCGACAATGACTTCTGTGGAACAGACATGACGATTGGCACAGACTCAGCTCTTCACAGGATTATTGAAGTTGTTGATGCCATCATGACCACGGCACAGAGGTAAAGGAGCTCAGAAAACCCGGTGGGACGTGGACCTGGAGAGAATGACATTCTCAAGCTTAAAGCAGACCTGGCCAACTTCAGAAATTTGGAATTTTCTACAGATGGGCATTGTAATTGTTGTTACTATATGCCGTCAACTTGTCTGCCAGTCATAGTGACCCTATATACAGCAGCTCTAAAGCCTGCCTTACCATGAGCCGGTCTCACTGACTTTGACACATGTACACTCATTGCCCTAGTTATTGTATCAATCCATCTCATCTGAGGTCTTCCTCTCTTGCACTGTCCCACCACCCTTCTGAGCATAATATCTCCAAGGATTGGTCCGTTTTGCCCACATGCTCAAAGTATGTGAGATGGAGCTTAAAAATTATTGCCTCCAAGGAGAAACTGTGGTTTCTCCTTGAGCATTATAGTACAAATCTTAAAATTTGAGTGTTAGAGAAACCATTAAAATAAAATTGTTTCCATGTTTACTTTTTATTTTTAATTTTAAAAGTTTTGTTTTTCCGGCGATGAATAAAACCTTTCCATTGGGGAAAGTTTTTAAAATTAGAAGAAAACAAAATTGCTATCTAATTTTCTCCTGGAGGAACAACACAGTGAAAACTACAGTGGCAAAGGGATGAACTGTTCAGATGTTAACGAAAGCTGGGGGGGGCTTGACCTCACCAGTGACACTGCAGGAGAAGACAGCCTGTGTCTATAAAGATGGCTGCCTTCGAAAGCCTGCAAGACTGTTGCTGTCTTACTTGGTTGTCAAAGTGTGTTTCTCTTATTTATGCTACTCACAGTATGAGTAAGTGGATGCCACCTTGTGTTTGTTTTACAGCCACCAGAGGACATTTGTTCTTGAAGTTATGGGGAGACACTGTGGGTATGTATCAGCTGAACCATGTCAGAATGACAATAACCATAGCAGTACTCTTCTTCTGGATCAAATGATGGGTATTCTTGTGGAGAATTCATGCAAGAAGCCAAGACTTGATCCCACATTTGCTGATGCATCACCCAGATCCAGTATTATTTCTGCTAAAATATTGAACTCTGTGTACTCAGTAGTAACTGTATAAGAAGATATATCCTTAGTTTACTGATATTTATTCTTTATTTCCAAATAGATACTTAGCCCTGGTTAGTGCCCTGGCCTGTGGTGCTGATTGGGTGTTTCTTCCTGAATCTCCTCCAGAAGAAGGCTGGGAGGAATATATGTGTGTTAAACTGTCAGAGGTAATTCACGTTTCACCATTCCACTTCTTTTTATCACAAAATATTCTTGTTTTATTGGTTCAAAGTTTTAATGGCTTTTAGGATTTTGATTTGGACAGGTTTTTTTAAATTTTTTTTAAAAATTGTATTAATTTTACGTATACCATCAAATCAGATCTGACTGGTACAGGAGGAGATTGGCCCCTCCGTCTCCAGCAGAGCACCTGGTGGATTTGAACCACGTACCTCTGGGTTTGCAGTACAGTATCTTGCCACTAGGCCACCAGAGCTCCCTATTTGGACAGTTTTAAACAAGTAAAAACTTTCTGTGTTTGAAATAAATTCTAGCTTGTTTCATATGATTTTCATATATTGACTGTTTATGTGTTTTTATTCTTTCAAACATTGCAAAGTTTGACACAATAGACAAACAGCCAGTGCACACACTGTGTGCATGTACATGTATGCATTTATAGTCTTATCTGCAAGTCCTCTTGTATTCATTTTAGACTTTATAAATAGTATTGTGAGAAATTATGAAGTAAAAAGACATACTGGAGTTTGCTCTTTTAATTAAATGTTGACTGACGTATGCTTGGTAATTTGTACAAACTTAATGTGAATTGGAAGTTTGAACTTACCCAGCAGTTCTGTGGGAAAAAGATTTGGTGATCTGCTCTTAGAAATGATCTGCTAAAAAAAAAAAAAGAAAGGAAAAGAAATGATCTGCTCTCAAAAGCTTTCTTATGAACATGTACGGCCAAGCACAATCAATAAGAGTGCATCTAAATTCCAAAATCAATCTCCATAATAGTCTATGTGTTTCCTACTGCCAAAAGGGCCCTTTAGAGTAGTGAGAGAAGATCTTCACCCTGAAACCCACAGCGTCCCTTTTCAGCAGGAAGTAGCTAAGAGAATATGCCATCCCCTTTTCCTTATGACTCAGGGTGAAGTCTCTCTCAGGGAAGAGTGATAGGGAATGGCAAAGGACACACTGACAAAGAAGATTAATCAGAACTGGCTTTGACAAGCACTGTGGCATTTGGACAAGAACAAACTGGGAGGAGGGTAGAGAGAATAGTGCAACAATGAATGAATGGAAACCCAAAATCTCTGTAAATGTTTATGAAAATTAATAAAATATAGAAAAAAAAAACACAAAGCCTCAAAAAAAAAAAAAGCTTTCTTTTGATAATAGCTTAGGAAACCTTGTGGGTTTGTGTTGCAGACCGAGGATCCCAAAGAATGGAATCATTTTTTAATTATTACTAATGAGACAAACTGCCAGGAATGTGATAGAGCAGAGAGCATAATACAGGGGGCCAGCAGTTCTCAACTGAAGACCTCAAGCCAAGCTTCTCTGTATCTTTATTGAAAATTACCAGGAAGTAAATCACAAAGAGAATTAAATGCAAATGAAGCCAAGCTCTTTCTATTGAAAACCTTCTGCTTGACTCAGGAAGGAGGGGTTCACAAATGCAAGAATGTAGTTTACCCCTAACTATTAACCTTGATGCCTCAGGGTGAACTCTAGCTCAGGAAGTAACACTCCCTCTGTAGGGGGCCTCTTGCTGTCTCCTGTCTTGCAGGGAACAAACAGCTCATTTTCTAGGATCTGCCACAAGAGAAATCCTAACTTAAATATTTGTAATTCCTTCAATTCCTGAACAAGGGTTTTCATATAATATTTGGTATAAAGTTTGGCTTCCCATAGGTTTGTTATTTTCTATGCAGTTAGGATGTGTAGAAAATAAACCGTAGCACAGGCTAATATCAACAACAAACTGAGAATACTTGGTATTGTTATATTTATAAATATTTGTATTGATCATTAATATAACACTGTAAGAATTTGATTTAATATTTTGTTAGATAAATTAGAAAAGAGGCTTAGATCATTAGAAAAGAGGCTTAAATCATCATAAGAAGCTTATGTGTTTATATATGACACTGATACTATGGTAAACTTTATTCACTGGTCCATACAGTTACCTTCAGAAACTCTGTAAAGATAAACAAATAAGAAACCAAAGCAAAGGACACCCTACCCACCCCCAAACAGACAATCTAACTGGCTTTGAGTTGATTCCAACTGATGACCTTGTAGAACAAAGTAGAACTGTCCTTGAGGTTTTAGAAATCTTTATAGAAGCAGACTAGTTTATCTTTCTCCCACCAATTGGCTGGTAAATTTGAACTGTCAACTTTTTGGCTAGTAGTCCAATGCTTAATCTAAACACATTACTTTTTTTTTTTTTCTATAATTATATTTTATTAATTTT